CAAACTTGGCCTCCCACTTGGATCCATATTTAGCATTGTACATCACTGTCTTAGCCGTTGAAGGGCTGCTGAGCAATGTCTAGTATGAAGTTAGTACCCCACGGTGCTTCTTCAATACTTTGTAGTACTTGTTGTCCAAACGATTTGGCGTTAGAACATCAAGAGCAACTGTTGGATTGATGGCAGCACCGGCGGTGCTTGGTGGGCACTTTGTTTTCAAGAATGCTGCGTAGTTTGGATCCATGGAAGGATCTTGTGGGTGAGTGGCATTGAAGGAGTAAAGGCGGGTGGAGAAGGAAGAGCAATGAGAGACACCAATGGAGTGAGCACCAGAGAGTGTCACCATCTCGTCACGTGACAATCCTTTTCTGGCAAAGTTATCCTCCAGCCGTGTGGCGTTGAAGAAGGAAGCCGGTAAATTTTGTGGAATATCATCACTCAAAGACACACGTCCATCACGACGTCCTGCTGGCACGGCATAGTTTATCCGTCCAGCCATGAAGGCACTGTCGCGAGCAGCGAAGGCAACAATGTCCGCGCATGAGACAGTTTTAGGGCATATGGCTTCAATTTGGGCCTTGGCCTCATCAATCACCTCGAACCCTCGTAAGCTTGGGTTATTGGCTGGATGTTCTTTCTCAGCTGGTTTTCCTGGTGTTGAATCGAGTAGCACAGAACCATCACAACCCTGAAAAGTAAAAACATTTAGTAACATTAACTAACGTTGGGTGCGAAAGTAATGGTGTTTTCAATTCGAACTATCTTTTGAGTTGTGTTTTTTATATAATAATATAGATAAACAATAAATTATTTTATGAGAATGAAACTACAATAACATATATTAATTTAGGAAAGGGTATAGGATAGGCGCATACCCTGACAAAGCAGTCATGGAAATGCATCCTAATGAGGCCTGCAGCAATGCCTGGATTCTTGGAAATGGCTTTGCTCACAGCTTTTCTAACAATTGCCTCAGCAGATGGACAAGTTGTTTGGTAGAATCCCAGTTTGAGTGGTACCACTACTGGTGAAGCCATAGCAGAGATAGAAAATGAGAAAATCAAACAGGAAGAGATCACTAGTGCAAGGACTTGGAACCTAGAGCAATTTGGATCCATATTTAGAACGAGAGAGACCGATCAAAGAAGAGCTGACAAGTATATAGTACAAAGCTGAAGGAGACAGCTACTAGTAGTAATTGCTAGATATGGAGATAAATAGTTGAGGTGCATAAAGAAGGCGATATAGGAAGTATATATATAGATAGATGGGTGGGTGGAGGCGGAGGAGAAAGTTGATTGATCACTTAATAATTCTTAAATGTTGTTGTAATGTGAAGGGTGGAGTTGGTTTTACTTTAGAAATCAAAACGTGTGTAGTATTAGCTGTATTTCATTGCACAACGCAGTGTTGAAGTTTTCTTGAGTTTGTCTGTCTTTCAACACTTCTACCACCCTTCATTGAGTGAATTGTTTATGTATTAATTAATTTCTTTCTATATAAACACTCATTCTTTTGGGGTAATTACTAAATAGTTTTGGAGGATCATATGACATTATTTACGCGATATTTTAAACCAATCACTTAATAAAAAAATTTACAAGTAAAAATTCTAACTGATTTTTATTAAGTAGTTGAGACTTGGAAAAAAAAAATATATATATATATATATAACATCACATGAAAAAAACTAAGAATTGTTTTTCTTTTGAGAGGGAAGAAACTTTCTAAATATGTAGCATAGTGAGGCAGGCCGGTCGTCCACAGACAGGGATTTAGCTTCTGCAAGTTTTTTTTTTTTTGATCAGCAAAAGGAAACTTTATTGATGAACTAAAAGAATAATACGTCAATAAAGGAGAGGGGATGGGGGATGAGTGTAGAAGAATTATAACGAAACAATCCAATCCCAACTAGGTTGGCACCGTTAAGTCTGCCTAATCATATGCTAGCACACCAACAAGAGTTGGTGAGAAACCAACCAAAAACACAGAACCAACCATACCCAAGATAATAGCTAAACAAACCAAACAAAACAAAACCAAAAGCAACAAAGACCATGACATCTCCCCTGCTTCACAACAGTAACCACAAACCACAAACCACAATCACAGCAGACCAGTGCAAAACAGATCACAACTCCATCTCAGACTATGACACCTCCATTACTTCACCCACATAGCAAACCGGTGCAAAAAGCTTCATAGCAGCAAAATAGCCAAATAGGTCTAGCAGAGCATGAACCTCCTCTACTTCACCCACACAGGCCCAACAGAGCACTAGAAGCAGTGCACACAGACCCAATAGAGGTTCTACAAGCAACTTCTAACTTGTTGAATGTTGAATACAAACTCATCCACCGCATACCCTTGCCCAAATGAATGTGCTTTCATCCAAAGAGCCACTCTAATTTTAATTAACTCACAGAGGTCTTCACAAATGGGCTGCAACTCATTGACCAAACAGTCATTTCTACATTTCCAAAGGGACCACAAACCAGTAATTAAAACTGATCTCCATAGTTACTTCTCTCTTTTTCTATAAGTCCAACCTATCCACCAGTGCATTAGCATGTCCACTGAACTAGGGGAGGCCCATTGCAAACCCCTCCACTTGATTATGGTGGACCATACTTTCCAAGCAAAGGGGCAAATCAATAGAACATGATTAAGTGATTCAATCTCTGCATGACAAAACACATACTCATTATTAACTTCATCACGTAGGATACCAATTCTATATAAATAATCTGAAGTCTTTAACCTCCCTTTCCAGACTAACTGAGAGAAAAATTGGGCTTTAGGTGGAGAGGGATTATGCTAGATCAAGTCAGGGAGTTTTAGAGCAGGACCATTTGATGATTCACACCAGTTAACAACGCCTTTAACACTGAAAATACCTGCAGGATCAGCTTTCCATAAAATACTATCATTAGATTCCAATCACAATTCAGGACCCTCTCTTACAACATCATGAAGTCTCTATAGCTCATCTTCCTCCCATGCCAATAAGGGTCTTTTGAAGTTGAATACCCAACTGTTCTGATTTCTGGCCTTAGACCACTGCATATACAAAGATATGTCTCTTTCTACTGATAAGTAGTATAATCTAGGAAATTGGGACTTTAAACAAATGGTTCCCATCCAATTATCAACCCAGAAACTGATTCTTTCACCATTGCCAATCTTGATTTCAGCATTGTGCAAATAATGATTGAACATGTTGTTATTAGATTCATTAACAAGTAGAATGTCACTCCACAATCTTGAAATATTGATTGCCTCCACATGAAAAGGAAACAATCTACCACCCTCTGACTTGTACTTACTGCAGATGAGTTGTTTCCATAAAGAGTTGTCTTTCATCCCAAATCTCCACCACCACTTAGCAGGCAAGCTATTGTTCACAACTCCTAAGTTTCTAATCTCCAACCCTCCTTGCGTTTTATCCTTGGTTAAATCCTTCCATATCACCAGGTGGACTTTCTTTTTCACATTAGAATCTCCCCACAGGAAAGCTGCTTGAATCTTATCAATCTCTTTTCCTATACATCTAGGCAACCTGAACAGAGACATATAATAAACAGGTAATGAGGATAGTACATATTTGATTAGTGTTACTCTACTGCAAAGGACAACAACCCCCTTTTCCAACCTGTTAGTTTCTTCTTAAATTTCTCCACCACAGGCTTCCATGTTGCTTTTCTTGATGGGTTGACCTCTAATGGCATTCCAAGATACTTTAAGGGGAGCTTCTGGTGGGTACAATTCAATCTTGAAGCAAAAGTTTGCACGATATCATCATAAATTTCTACACCACATACAACACTCTTGTGAAAGTTGATCCTCAACCCAAAAATAATCTCAAAACATCTGAGTATTCTCTTCACATTTACAACTTCAGACCACTCGGCTTCATAGAAAATAATTGTGTCATCCGCAAACTGGAGATGGGAAATGTTAATGCCATTGAACCCAATGATTATCCCTTTAACCAAACCCAACTCTTTTGCTCTTGAAAGTAGTAAGTTTAGACCTTCAGCCACCACATCAAATAGGAAGGTGATAATGGATCGCCTTGCCTTAGCCCTTTTTGAGGTCAAAATTCAGATGTGGGTGAGCCATTTACCAACACAAAAACTTTAGCTGAAGAAATACAGGTATAGATCCAATTCACCCACTTAGTACCAAACCCAAAATTAGATAACATTTGGATGAGAAAGTTCCAAATTATTGTGTCATATGCTTTTTGGATATCTAACTTCAATATCAGGCCCTTTCTTCTAGATTTCTTCTACCAATCCACTACCTTATTAGCTATCAATACACCATCCAAAATATTTCTTTCCCCTAGAAATGCCGATTGGGCATTATCTATAACAACAAGAAGTACTCTTTTTAATTTATTGGCAAGAACCTTGGATAGAATTTTATATGTCAAGTTTATAAGACTAATAGGCCTGTAGTCTTAGATGCCTGATGGGTTGTCTTTTTTTGGGACCAATGTAATGAAGGAACTATTTAAGCCCCTAACCAAACTACTGTTGATATAGAATTCCTGCAGGAAAGTGAAGATATCACCTTTCATGAATTTTCACCATTTTTGGTAGCAGGTCATGTTAAACCCATCAGGACCAGGTGCCTCATTGCCATCACATTTTGCAATTGCAGCCCAAATTTTAACTTCAGAAAATTACTTCTAAACTACTGCAATGCTAGCTCTGTTAAATCCCTCTAAATGGACCCAGTAGCTTGGATCTGTACTTTCATTGTTCATTAAAACTAATCCTGAAGAGATCATACATAGCTTATTTCACCTCCATAGGTTGTTTCACTGCTGCCCCATTTACTGTCATAGAATCAATTGCATTAATATTCTTCCTTTCCGTAGCTATGATGTGAAAAAATTTAGTATTTTTATCTCCCTTTAAATTCCAATTCAGCCTTGACTTCTGAAGCCAAATTCTTTCCACTATCTTTTTTACTTTAACTGCTGCCCCATTTACTCTCAGCAGTTCTTGTTGCAGTAGCAATTAGCTAATGAGAAGATTTCGGGCTTCTAAACACAAAGCAGACCTCCAACACTCTCATCAACATCCACATTCATGTAGCCAACTAGGTCATAACGCCAGATAGATTTCACAAACTGCTATGAAATATTTGCCTTTTTTATTTCCTGCAATAACACCATGCCCACTTTTCTTTCTTTGATAGCTTTTTTGACTTTCCTTCTCTTTTTAGGCTTGCCAAGCCCTCTAATCTTCCAAGAAAGAATCTTCATAAAAATATTTTTCACTCTTGAGCCTCCCTTGATGCTATTCTAAGCCCCAACACAATTGTTCTTTTTAGCAGCTTGCTCCATGCCCTTCTCTTCCATTTCAATAATTTTCTTCATAACTTCATCATCTTTGCCTTCGAAATCTATTCCCAACTTTTCCCAAGCTGTATTGTAGCTTGAGCCTCCAAAAGTAGTTTGTTTTGGTTGCTAGAGCTGTTGTTATGAGACAGAGAGGAAGAAATTGTAGCAGCAGCTGCTCCAAAGATGCCCTCTCTTTGAAAAATTTTGCCTGGTTCTTCATTTTTTTCCCCTGCTCTCTTTATTTGTTATTGACTTACTGGGTTGTAGATCTTGATTTCTTTGACTTTCCCTTTCATTTGTGACCACAACAATGCCCTTATCCTTTATCATCTGGGCTTCAAAATGTGTTGACTTAGGAATCTCAACAATCTTGTTTTGAAGATCCACACCATTACTACTGCCATGGTCCAGCCCAGTTGTTTTAGACATACCCCAATTTATTCCATTCAAAAGACCATCGAATTGGGCTTGATCGAAAACTACTTCTAAATTAATGTTGGGCTTTGGAGATTCATTCCTATTTAGGATTCTCATAGGCCCATCAGAGACCAAGACACCTACACTAGAGCTGAGCAAGAAATCTGTATAATCCGTAATTCGATCTGGTCCAGTCCAATCCAGTAGGTTTGGATTGGTTTTTTGAATCTGTGGTTCGATTCCGGATTGGAAATTTAAAAATTCATAGGCCACGGATTGGTTTCGGATTGGACTCCACGATTTTGAATTGGAACCGATCCAAACCATATACAAATAGTCTACATTCATACTATAGTCTATGTTTCTTGCTTTTCTTCTAATAAACTTGAATCCCCATAGATTTTTCACCTTTTCTCTTTTAGATTTTTAGTTTTGCTGAGA